ATTAGCATGGCTAACTAAAAAGAGAAGAGAGAAGATCCAAATAACAAAAATTAGAAATGAAATAGGTGATATTACAACTGATACGTCTGAAATACAAGGAATCCTTTGAGACTAATATAAACAACTATATGTCAACAAATTTGAAAATCTGGAGGAAATGGATAAATTTCTGGACACACACAAACGACCAAAACTAAGCCACGAAGATGTAGAAAAATCTGAACAGACCAATAACGATAAAAGAGAATGAAGCTGTTATCAGAAGGGTCCCAACAAAGGAAAGCACAGGACCAGATGGATTCACAGAATTTTACCAAACATTCAAAGAGGAAGTGACAACAATTCTCTACAGACTATTCCAAAAGATTGAAATAGACGCAATTCTCCCAAACTCATTCTGTGAAGTAAACATCACCCTGATACCCAAACCAGGTAAAGATACAACTAAAAAAGAAAACTACAGGCCAATATCCTTGATGAATATAGATGCAAAAATCCTCAATAAAATACTAGCTAACAGAATACAGCAATACACATGCAAAATTATACACCATGATAAAATGGGATTCATTCCAGGGATGCAAGGTTGGTTCAACATATGCAAATCAATAAATTTGATACACCATATCAATAAAATCAAACACAAGGACCATATGATCATCTCTAGATGCTGAAAAAGCATTTGATAAAATTCAACACTTACTGATTTTTTTCTTAATTTTATTTTTTCAATATACAATGCGGTTGATTATTGTGGCCCATTACCGAAACCTCCCTCTCCCCCTCCCACCCAACAATGTCCTTTCTGTATGCTTGTCGTGTCAACTTCAAGGAATTGTAATTGTTATGTCTTCTTCTCCCCCCCGGTTTCAACACTTATTCATGACAAAGACTCTCTATAAGTTTAGATAGAAAGTATCTCAACATAATTAAAGCCATATATGATAAACCGCCAATATCTTGAACGAGCAAAACTTGAAAGCTTTTCCTTTAAGAACAGGAACTAGACAAGGATGCTCACTCTCACCACTCCTATTCAACATAGTGTCGGAAGTACCAGCCAGAGCAAAGAAGAGAAAAAAATAAAGTGCATCCAGATTGGAAAAGAGGAACTCATACAGTCCCTCTTTGCAGATGACATGATCCTATATATTGAACTGTCTACAGACTTTATGAAAAAAACTCTTGGAATTGATAAATGATTTCAGCAAAGTAGCAGGATACAAAATTAACATGCAAAAGTCAGTAGCATTTTTATTCTCCAATAGTGATTTGGAACCCAAACCCAAACACCTAACCACAACCACAACCCTAACCCCTAACCCTAACCTCAGCCCCAACCCCAATCCCAGCCCTAAACTTAACCCTAACCCTAACCCAAACACCTAACCCTAACCCTAATCCTAACGCCTAACCCTAACCCTAAAACCTAACCCTAACCCTAACACTAACCCTAATCCTAAATCTCTAACCCTAAACCTAACCCTAACCCTAAAACCTAACCCTAACCCTCTAACCCTAACCCTAATCCTACCCTAACCCTAACACTAACCCTAAACCTCTAACCCTAAACCTAACCCTAACCCTCTAACCCTAACCCTAACACCAACCCGAAACCTCTAACCCTAACCCTAACTCTCTAACCCTAACCCTCTAACACTAACCCTAACCCTCTAATCCTAACCCTAACCCTCTAACCCTAACCCTAACCTTAACCCTTTAACCCTAAACCTAACCCTAACCCTCTAACCCTACCCCTCTAACCCTACCCCTCTAACCCTAACCCTCTAATCCTATACCTAAACCTAACCTTAACCCTCTAACCCTAAACCTAACCCTAGCCCTCTATCCCTATCCCTAACCCTCTAACCCTAACCTTAACCCTAACCCCTAATCCCAACCCGAACCCCAGCCCTAACCCTAACCCTGACCTCTAACCCTAACCCTAACCCCTAACCCTACTCTAACCCTAACCCTCTAACCCTAACACTAACCCTCACCCCTTGACCCCTGACCCCGACCCCAACCCTAATCCTAACCCTAAGACTAACCCTGACCCCGACCCCTGACCCTAACCCTAACCCCTATCCCTAACTCCTAACCCTAACTCCCTAACCATAACCCTAACCCTTACCAAGTTCTTGTAATTTTTGTGTCTTGCTCCCTCCCCCGTACAGGATTTTTTTTTTTTTATCCCGTAGAGATAAGTCAGAACATGTGATATTTCTCTCTCTATGCCTGACTTGTTTTACTTAATATATTTTTTCATAGGCCTATCCATGTTGTTGCAAATGGCAGTATTTCATTCTTTTTTAGAGCAGAGTAGTATTCCATTCCCCCCATGGCTGGCCAGCATGTGGATCCATGGTGTTATTAGCACCATGCTCTAACCAACAGTACACTATGCCCAGCCGTGTAACTGCTGAAAAAAAGATATTTTCAGTTATTGACCCCCTTCTATATCTGAGGGTTGAACACCTGCTGATTCAACCACTTATAAAAAATGAAAAGAAAAAAACATATACAAGTATAAAACAACACACTATAACAACTCTTTACAAGGAATTCTGTAATTAGTAATATAAATATTTGACTGAAAATGTTAAGGACACAGAAAAAAGCTCGTAGGTAATATTGAAACAGTACACCATTTATAGATGGGGCTTCATCATTTGCAAGTGTTTTCATCAACAGGGGCTCCTGGAACGACTCCCCAATACCAAAGAACAGTTGTGCATTTATAGGGCTTCTTCTTGATGTGAGTTCTGTGATGAAACATGACATAATTTATGGGAAAACCTTCTCCAGCAGTCAATACACAAATTGGGCTTTTCCCATGTGTGAATTTGTTCATGTCTATTACAGTGAGTTCCAGTGAACTGTTTTTTCCATTCTTTACATTCACATGGTTTCCCGCCTGAGTTCTCTCATGCCTTCTGAGGTCTAACTTTTCATTAAGTTTTCCCACATTCTTTACATTAATATGGCTTCTTACCTGTGAGAGTTCTCTGATGAACGCTGAAGTATGACTTTTTGCTAAAAGCTTTTCCACATTCTTCATGTTCATATGGTTTCTCACCTGTGTGAATTTTGATTAAAAGTTCTACATTCATATGGTTTCTCACCTGTGTGAATTCTCTGATGAATGCTGAAGTGTGACTTTTGCTTAAGTTTTTCCACATTCTCTACATTCGTGTGGTTTCTCACCTGTGTGAGTTCTCTGATGAATGCTTCCTTTAGTCCATTTTGTGTTGCTATGACAAAAATACCTGAGACTGGATAATTTATAAAGGAAGTTTATTTGGCTTACAATTCGGAAACAGTTGCATCTGGCACAGGCCTCAGGCTGCTTCTACTCATGGAGGAAAGTGCCAGGCTGCTGGTGGGTACGAGCAGATCATATGGTGAGAGGAAGCAAGAGACAGGAGGTGCCAGGGTCCTATAAACAACAAGCTCTCACAGAAACTAATATACTAAGAACTCACTCATTACTCGCCCCCCAGGAGAACATTAATCCATTCATGAGGGATCTGCCCCCATGACTCAGTTTCCAACACTGCCACACTGGGGATCAAATTTCCACATGAATTTTGGAGGGAACAACACATCCAAACTGCATCAATGCTGAAGTATGACTTTTCACTAAAAGCTTTTCCACATTCTTAATGTTCATATGGTTTCTCACCTGTGTGGATTTTCTGATGCCTGCTAAGGTGTGACTTTTGTATAAAAGTTTTTCCACATTCTCTACATTCATATGGTTTCTCGCCTGTGTGAATTCTCTCATGCTTCCTGATGTTTGACTTGCAGGTAAAAGCTTTCCCGCAGTCTTTGCATTCATATGGTTTCTCACCTGTGTGAATTCTCTGATGAATGCTGACCTGTGACTTCTGGCTGAAGCCTTTTCCGCACTCTTTACATTCATATGGTTTCTCACCGGTGTGACTTCTCTGATGAATGCTGAGCAGTGACTTCCGGCTAAAAGCTTTTCCACAGTCTTTGCATTCATATGGTTTCTCACCTGTGTGAATTCTCTGATGAATGATGAGGCTTGAATTTTCCCTAAATGCTTTTCCACAGTCTTTACATGCATAAGGTTTCTCACCTGTGTGAATTCTCTCATGCTTCCTGAGGTCTGACTTCCGGCTAAAAGCTTTCCCACAGTCTTTGCATTCATATGGTTTCTCACCTGTGTGATTTCTCTGATGAATGCTGACCTGTGACTTCTGGCTGAAACCTTTTCCACACTCTTTACATGCATAAGGTTTCTCACCTGTGTGAGTTCTCTCATGCTTCCTGATGTCTGACTTGCAGGTAAAAGCTTTCCCGCAGTCTTTGCATTCATATGGTTTCTCACCTGTGTGAATTCTCTGATGAATGATGAAGCTTGACTTTTCCCTAAATGCTTTTCCACAGTCTTTACATGCATAAGGTTTCTCACCTGTGTGAATTCTCTCATGCTTCCTGAGGTCTGACTTCCAGCTAAAAGCTTTCCCGCAGTCTTTGCATTCATATGGTTTCTCACCTGTATGATTTCTCTGATGAATGCTGAGCTTTGACTTTTTGTTAAAAGCTTTTCCACATTCTTCACATTCATATGGTTTCTCACCTGTATGAATTTTCTGATGGCTGCGGAGGTGTGACTTTCGGGTAAAAGTTTTTCCACATTTTCTACATTCATACGGTTTCTCACCTGTTTGAGTTCTGTGATGAATGCTTAAGTGTAACTTTTGGCTAAAAGTTCCACATTCTCTACATTTATATGGTTTCTCACGAGTGTGAATTATTTCATTACCACTGAAATATGACTTTTGGTTAAAAGCTTTTCTGCTTTTCTTACATTCATATAGTTTCTCACCTCTGGGAATTCTGGGACGAATGCTGAGGCTTGACTTTTGGTTAAAAGTTTTTCCACATTCCTTACTTTCACATGGTTTCTCACCTGTGCAAATTCTCTGATGACTGCTGCAGTGTGACTTTTCAGGAAAGGTTTTACCACATTTATCACTGTAAAAGGTTTTTTTATATTCTTTACATGGTTTCTCAATTGTGTGAACTCTCTGATATACAGAGAGTGCAGACTCATGGCAGAAAGATTTTTTACACTCATTACATCCATCTAGTATTTCACCTGTGTGAATTCTCTCGGGATGGCTGAGGAGTGAATTCTTACAGAAGCTTTCCCCACAGTTAATACTTCCATAGTACATTTCTCCTGTGTAAGTTCCCTGATGCATTGTAAGGTCTGACTTCTGACACAAAACTTTCTCCTGTTCATTACAACCATAAAGCTTCTCCTGTATAGGTGTTCTCTTATGGGAGGTAAGGTATAATTTCTTAATAAAAGTTTTCTCACATTCAGCATGTTTACAGTGTTGCTCTCCTGTATGCATAATCTGACATTTAGTGAGTTCAGGCTTTTTACAGAACATTTTCCCACGTATACCACATTGAAAAGTTTTCCTTTCTACATGATTTATTTCTTGGACAATGACAGCTGCCTTACCACAGCCTTTCCCATATTCATTATACTTACAGGTGGTCTCATCAATATGAATCTTTTTATGTGTAAATATTGTTGGCTCTGTGTTGGAGGATTTCCCTTTTCCACTGTATTCTAAAAGCTGCTTCCCAGTTTGAATATTGGGATGCTGACTAAGATGCTCATGATGTCTGGGCAATTTTCCAGTTGTATGACAGTCATCAGGTTTCTCTCCAGTGGGCATCTCATCAGGCTCTCTAGGAAGAAGTGCATTCTGACATATGTATAACTCCTTATAACCCTTTCCTGAATACTTTCCATTATTTATAACCAGATTTAAAACAAGATATGAACTCAAATAAAATGATTTTCCTAACACGACTCTCTCCTCGGCTGATGTGTTGCTATTGATGACTACAATTTGCTGCAAGCATCTACCATGACGTTCTTGGTTCATCTCCTCAAGGTCATCACCTATCTGGACATCTGAAATGAGAAAAAAATAACTAATAATGAACCACACATAAGCACATCTCATTGATTGCGCAAGTAAAGGTACAGAAGTGCCTTCCGATCCTAGTAACTAAAGATTTTATAAAAAAACCAATAACGGATGTTGGTTTCATGAGTTTATGGAATTTTTTCTGACAATGTAATATTGTACTAATATATCTTCTAATGTTATGTCAAGGTTTTCTGTCCTTTGTTCATTTTTAAATTTTAATGTATGACTAAATATTTGTTAAGAATTTATAGTTTCTGCCTACATGTAGTTTTCAACAAAGCACCTTTCATTTCTTTACACCAATTTCTCTTTCATTTTTACAACCAGGGATGTCTCCTGCTGCTATTTTCTCATTATTTCACAATGAAGATGACTAGATTTTCCATCATCAGCTACTTTCAGGTACGGAAGTGAGCCAATTTTTTATCACACATGCAGGAACATCACTGAGGATAAGGATTTTGCATTTATGCTTATATGCTTTACACTTCTCCCATAGAAAATGGCTATGGGAATGTGGAAGTTTTCCAAAGAATAAAATATCCTCTCCTCCACCCTAAATAAAGACAGCTTCCTCCAAGTTTTTCATTTAACCTGACTTCCTCTGCTTCTCATAACCCATTAGAATAAAGAAAAATCAGTTCTCCACCCTATACACCTCTTTCTGTTCTAAAATATTTGGTTCTGCATCCAAAGCTGTTCCCACCATCTTTGAAATATGTTCTTTTGACACCTTCTCAAATCAACTTGTATTCTATTCCCAATTTCTGGTACATGGACCACCACTTGATAATTTATTTCTTGTGAAAGATTTGCTTTGTGCAGTGAAGTATTGGAGGTCTTCCATTCTCGTAAAATTTTTCTCCTGCACATTTCTCATTTTGGTTATTTTTCTAAATGATTTCCACAAAAAAAAAAAACAGAAAAATGCTAACTTTGAACTCCACTCTCAATCAACAATCTTATCCCCTCAACATGAAACCCTTAGTTCACATGGTATTGGCACCCAGAATCTTCTGGTTTTCCCTCAAAGTCAAGGACCACCCCTTTCCATTCTCCCATGCAGGGTTCTCCTCAACTTCATGATTTTTGATGTAGTGGTACAAGGCTCACTGCTGCACATCTTTTCCTATTTTCTTAGTGAATTGCTATGTGATACCCTGCACTACTTTGGAACTCTGTGAACAGTCTTCGCCAGAACAAAGGCCCTCACCAGATGTAACCCTTGAACTTGGAATGCTGAGCCTCCAGAACAGACTTGCAAGAAAAAGACTTTTTCCTTTATAAATTACCCAGTTGCAGGTATTCTGTCAGAAACAACAGAAAACAAACAGATACAGTATGAAAAAAAGGTACATGAGAATTGAAGACACAAGCACAACTGAGAATGTTAAGAAAGCAAATAGGAAAAATAAATGTCAAACGAGAGAAATTTAGGAGTTAGATTATGGGTACATACAAAACAGATTCAGCCAAATAAAATATTGGGATATACATGGGACACCCTACCCTGGACATTATGTAATACAGGATTGCAGGTGAGCCATCCTCAAGTCTGGGACTTGCAGGGGAAATTTCTAGAAATAGCTGAACACTTCCAACATCTAATGGGCTTTAATTTTCTTGGCTTTTGTACTGTATGTGCTGACAAATCTTGCAGTATCTGCTTTGGGCATTCTATTGTCCATGGCTCTGCTCCTTCTTCTAATTCAAAAATCACCTCAGCTTTGTTAATGCAGTGTTATGTTAATGGGAAGTAATGTAGGACTTTGTAAAATTGCTAAGTCTGATCCTTGGAAGAACGGCAAAAGCTCAGCTTCAGACATTGTGCAATAAAGAGGACAATTTGAACCTTGTGAGAGAGAGACCACATTTCCAAGAAATGTAATCTTACCAAAAAAGCATGAAACCCTGGGCCGGCCCGGTGGCGCACTGCGCTAGTGCACCACTTGGGAAGCGCGGCGGCGCTCCCGCCGAGGGTTCGGATCCCACATACAGACCGGTTCCCGCTCACTGGCTGAGCGAGGCGCGGGGGCAACACCGAGGGTTGCGATCCCATTGCCAGTCCCGGTCCGGTACGGGGGTGACACTGAGGGTTGCGATCCGTTGCCGGACACGGAAAAAGAAAAAAAAAAAAAAAAAAAGCATGAAACCCTAAAAATGGCTCCTATAGTTATGAACAAAAAGAAACATTTCTCCTGAAAGTTACTGGGGAGTTTTACTCACTCAGTGACACCAGGTTGCTGTAGGTCTCCAGCATCACATCCCTGTACAAAATCCTCTGAACATCATTCAGGTCCTGCCACTCCTCCCAGGTGAAGTCCACAGCCACATCCTCAAATGATACCAACTCCTGGAACGACACATCGTCCTCAACTCAAGTCAACATTTCTGGGTCACAAGACAGAAATCTGGAGTTCACACCTATGTGTGTGCATGTGTCATATGTGTCTTATTAAGATGCCATTTTGTTGTACTCCATAGAATGGGAGGAAGAAAAATCAAAGGACAAATATCCTGGTAATGTAATAAGTTATCAATTAATAAAAATAATATTACAAAACTTAGTTTATACCTTAAGAAATATCCTTGTTGCTAGTGATAAAAGTGTGAATAAAATTTTTCTTTTCCAAGGAGAGTATAAACAGGCATGAAGACATAAGTATAAATACATACCTGGAATACTGTGTTAGATGAACAAATTTAAGCACAAGTTCAATATAGACTGGCATAAGAAATAGTAAATATACTATACTTTGTATAGTTTGCACTTCACTGAAATGCCAAAGATGTTAAACTCTTTCATGTGAACTGCTTGGTCTCGTGAATATGAGGCAACAGGAAAACTCCAGTCATAAGAACACAAATAACACACCCCACATTAATGGAACTACACATAGCACCTTGTGTCTGAGTGAATGATGTTGGGCAGCATAACGGAACAACAATATTGAAGCAACTAATTATAGAATGATTCTGCACTTAAATATGAAACTTATTTCAAACAGTAAAACATTTTATGTGGTTATCGTTGATTTTTACCTTCTTATGAATTATAAGTACATTAAAAAGGCATTCCAAAATTTCCTTCCTATGTGCCAAACGATTGCTTGTGTCCACATCAGGTTGTACACTGCAACTTTCTAAACCACAGGGAGCAAACAATGTGATCCTGTAAGTACATGACTTTATTTGTATTTTAATCATAATCCACTACAAGGAGAATGGAAAAGGCTTTAGGGAGAGTCAGAGGGAAAAAGAAAACGGGGTGACAGAAAACCAACTACATTACAACATAGAGAAATAAGCACACAGAAGAGAGACTTAACACTATAAAAAAGGAACAGGGAATGAAAAAGCAGAAACAGAATGTGGTAGTAATTTGCTGTGCAGAATTTTAAAAGAAGAGTTTTACTCAGACTATCTACAAAAGCACAGCTAGTTATGTCCTGGAACTGCAAAGCAAAGTTTAAAAACTGGGAGAAAAATATAAAGAGCAAAAGTGAAAGACTTGAATACATAATACTTGAAATATCTGTGGAAATGTCCGGGTGGCAATTGAATGTACAATTCCAGCTTTCAAGAGAGAAAGTTAATCTGACAACAAAGACTTGAAAAGTATCAAAATTTGCATGTTATCTGAAGACATCAGAGTGAATGAACCTGAGGTTGAAAGTTAAAAAAGAACAAGTACATAATCTGCAGAAACACTTTATCTTTAAACAGAGGACAGAAGGGAAGAAAGAGTGGCATTACATCATAATATAGGGGTTACTTCTCCCAGAGGATAATTCTTAACGTGCACGTGCCTTACAACAGATCATCTAACTATGTGACATGAAACATAACAGAACTTCAATGAGAAATATAAGAATCCATCATCAAAACTGGAGGTTTTGGGCTGGCCTCATGGCTTACTCGGGAGACTGTGGTGGTGGTAGCGCTGAGGCTGCAGGTTTGGAGCCTATATAGGGATGGCCGGTGTGCTCACTGGCTGAGCATGGTGCAGACAGCACCGTGCTGAAGGTTGCCATCCCCTTACCGGTCAGAAAAAACAAACAAACAAAAAAAAAAAGTGGAGGTTTCAAAACTCTGTATCAAAAATGAACCAATACAGCAGACAGAAAACCATAAAAGACATAGTTAAACTCAATAACATGATCTGGATATAATGGATATTTACAGACTACTTCTTATAACAACTAGACGTTCTTCTCAAACTCATATAAAAAAATCACTAAGACCATATGCAGATTCACATAACACACTTTAGGAAAATTAAAATAGTAGAAATCATATAATATGTGCTCTCAGACCACAAAAGAATTGAACTGGAAATCAGTAATAGGGCAATGACTACAAGATCCCCAAATAGAGT